GTGTTTGGGATTTATCGTTGGGGGGGGGGGCGTCTGACGGGGGAGGGCGAGGTAAGGAGGGGACGCAGGGGCGTTAGCCTTTCTCTCCATGCACATGTCAATAACAAGCATGGGTGTGGTGCGAAGGACCCCGCATGTCCCCAGACCTAAATGTGTCCAGGCCGGCCCCTAAGCGCCCAAAAGCCAAAACCCGGGAAAACAGCAACAAAACAGCAGCAAAACAGCAGCAAAACAGCAGCAAAACAGCAGCAAAACAGCAGCAAAACAGCAGCAAATCAGCAGCAGAACAGCAGCAAAACAGCAGCAAAACAGCAGCAAAACAGCAGCAAAACAGCAGCAAAACAGCAGCAAAACAGCAGCAAAACAGCAGGCGAGGACAAGACAGCGCCCCCCGCCCCTCCACGCCCCCGGACCTGAAAGTGTCTAGCCCCAGCCCCAGGCCGTAGCACTTCATGGCCAGGTGGCCCTTGGTGAAACGCGCCTTTGGGGGAGGGGGGGGCGGGGACAAGACGGGGCGGCGGGTGAGGGCGCAACGTCGGCGGAGCACAGGCAGCTGAGGGGAGCCGGCCGGACGTTGGTCAATGCATGCGCGACAGCGGCGTTGCGGCGGGGGCCCTGGTGGTTGCCCCGGCCGCTGTCATGCATCCCGCGGAGCGCCTCTGGGCAGGCGGTTTGAGGATCTGGTGGTCTTGCTGATTTGGGTCATCTGGCGGCGCTCTCGCAAGCCCCGGGGACGACCTCGGTGCTCTCACCAGGTCTGTGACGTAGGACTGGGCCCAGAAGGCCACCGTGTGTTGGCTGACGTAGCGCCAGTGCTTGTCGTGGCGCAGCCGCCTTGGGTGGGTTGGGAGGGACGAAAAGGGGTGGCGTTGAAGGATGAATAACTCAGGAGAAAAAAACAGGCGGGACGAGATGGGGGCAGGGTCGGCGCGGGCGGGAGGGTTGACCCGAGAGCTGCCGCGCGCGGGCCCGGGCGCCGGGTCGTACGAACACTGCGGGCGCCTGCGAGGGCAGCGGGTTGCCCCCACCTGTCCCGCTTGCTGGCCTCGAGGGCGCCCTAATTCCTCAACCCTGAACCCTGCGCCCTGATCCCTGCAAAACCCTGAACCATCCACCCACCTGTCCTGTTTGCTGGTCTTGAGGGCGGAGTACATGCCGTCAGCCACGCTCTCAATGGACCAGGGGTTGACGCGGATGGCGCCACTCAGGCTGGGGCTGCAGCCCACAAACTCTGGTGTGTTTGCGGGGGAAGGCAGGGGTGTGGGTGGGTGAGACTCTGGGATTGCAAAGGGTGCGGCCGGCAGGGGCGGCGGGGCCGCTTTCAATCACGGTGCCCTCGCTCACTCGCAAATGCAGGCGTACGGGCACAGACGCGCCGATCCTATGCGAACGCACTTCGCCAGCCGCGCACCCGCGCTCCATCGCACATCACGACGCACCATACCCTTTCCCCCCCATCTCAGCCCCCCCCACCTGATACCACCAACATCGATTCCCGGCTGCTCGCCACCACCTCCCCCTCCCCCTCGCCGCCGGCGCCGGGGTCCGGGCCCTGCCTGCGGCCAGACGGGGCGCGTCGGAGCAGCGCGGTCGTCAGCGCTCGCGCGCACGCGTTGGCGTGCGCTAGGAGCCAAGGCGCATTCAGAACACCCGGCTTGGGGCGTCCCAACCCTTGGCCCCAGGCCGCACGCGCCCCGTGCCACCAAAAGGCCCACATTCCCGCCTTCTGAATTTGAATCTAGAATCACAGCGTGCGACCCTCAGGTGCAGCTGGCCGCGAATGCAGCCGCATTCACGCATCCCCGCCCGCCACCCGCGCCCCGACGGGTGATGCTGAGCCCCCCTTCCCGCTCCTCTCCCCGCCTGTCGCGTGTGGCACCCACGCCCGCGTCACCCGCGCCTGCGTCACCCGGCGGTCACCTGCAGACCACGTACTCGTAGGGCACGAGGTTCATGCCGTCGCGCGTGGCGGTGACGACGGCGCAGTCCGCGACACTGAAGAATGCGATGCGCTCGTGGAGGGGCACGTGGCGTTCGAGGTAGCACACGGGCTCGTAGCCTTGGGGTGTTTTTCGTATTTGGGGGGTGCAGGGCGGGTGAAGGGCGTGTGTGTGGGGGGGTGTGAGTGGGGTGTGTTTGTGTGTATGTGCGCGCGCGCGCGCG